AAATTGGTTTAATAAAACACTGATTGGCCAGTAGTCAGGCAGGAATTATAGGCAGGACGAGCAGACTAGGAGAATTCTGGGAAGAAGAAAGGCAGAGATTCAGTCACCAGCCAGACACAGAGGAAGCAAGATGAGAATGCTGCACTGAGAAAGGTACCAAGTCATGTGGCTACACATAAACAGAATTATGGGCTAATTTAAGTTGTAAGAGCTAGTTAATAATAAGCCTGAGCAATAGGCCAACCAGTTTATAAATAATTTAAGCCTCTGTGTGTTTATTTTGGGATTGAATGGCTGTGGGACTGGACGGGATAGAAACTTTCATCTACAGTCTTGTTTGTTTGGGAGCATGTGGCACTGAGGCCTCTTCACTGCATGGCAGTCAGGAAGCAAAGAAAATCAGAATGATATGGGCATGGTGACTCATGCCTGTAATCCCAATACTGGGAAAGATAAGGCAGGAAGATTGCCACAAGTTTAAAGCCAGTCTGGGATAAGTAGTTGTAGCCAGTGTGGGTGCAGAGTGAGACTCTGTCCCAAACAAATAAACAAAAAAACAACACACACACACAGAGGAACATGCATGCACATAGTAACCACTACATAGAGATGGCTCAATTGAAAGACAGCTTATCTTGCAAGGCACGAGCTGTTGAGTTTAGCTCCTTAATATCCATGTAAAATTGTGCAAAACAATACTCACACATAGGAACATGCATGCACATAGTAACCACCACATAGAGATGGCTCAATTGAAAAAGAGCTTACCTTGCAAGGCATGAGCACTTGAGTTTAGCTCCTTAATATCCATGTAAAATTGGGCATTGAGGGAGGTAGCTCAGTGTTACCAGACAAGCGTGAAGACCTGAGTTCAGGTCCCCAGAACCCCATGCATCTGGACACAGGAATACATCTCTCTGACCAGCATTCCTATTGTGAGATAGGAAGCAGACAGGAGGAGCCCAAAGGCTCATCATAGGCCAGCTAGTCTGGTACACACGGCATCGAACAAGATGGCTCAAATAAGGCAGAAGGCTGGGATGGGCACCTGAGATTGTCACTCGATGTCCACAGTGCCGTGTAAACCTGCAGCATCATTCACATATACATCTACATCCACATAAAAATTTTAGTAAACAACACTGGAGCACAGGCGTGGGGTCCGACCATCAGCTACCCCTCTGCTGTGTGCTGGCCCGAAGGAGCTAGCAGGCCAGGGACTCCACTTCTCCAAGATGCTATTATATTCTCTTACCTCTCAAGTGTGGATGATAATAGTACCTACCTCAAAACACACCAAGAACTATAACACATGCCCAGGTATGATGCTGGGAGCTGGCCAAGTCTTTGATCTGGAATCACCTAATCTGTGCCTCTTAGAGACAACTGATTAACTCAAGTGAGCTGTACCCATCCCTTACCAGGTACCTCCCTCTGTTCTATGAATGGATCCCCTGCTTCTGTTGCTCGGCCATAGGGAGGTGTCTGAGTTACGCTTCTTGTTTGGGGCACACTGTTGGTAGAACTGGGATTCAGCCCAGGCACCTGGACTTTAGAACCTGCATGATTAATTGCTTGGTCATGGCTCTTCTTGGGAGAAGCAGGATGTACATGCTTGTGGGATGGTAGTAGGATGGGTAGACAAACAGGTGTGAGTCTCCTTTATGGACCAGAATAGAGAAGATTTTTTTCCTTGGCCCATCTAGCTGCTGTGTTGGAGGGTTGGGGAGCACTGTTGAGAACTCTGCCAACACTGTATGAGCCTGCCTCCAGGTTCCATTTAGCTACAGCAGTATACTCTGGAATGTTCAGTAACCGCAGCCCAGCACACCACGAGAATCCCAGGTTTGGTTTCTTGTGTCTCTCAGGACCATAATGATGCCCCTGGATTCAGTTGTCTTTGAAGATGTATGTTGAAGCTAGCCATGACAGTGCAAGCCTGCATTCATAGCTCTTGAGAGGTGGAAGTAGGAGGACTCAGTGTTTAAGGCCATCCTTAGCTACATCGTCAGTTTAAGGCCAGCCTGAACTACAGGAGACCCTGTCTCCCTAAGCAAACAAACAAAACAAAAATTAACAGAAAGCCCAAAATAAACAAACTATTTAAAAAAAAAAACTAAAGTACAGGCTGATATCTCCAGTCTAGTTAGGGCTGAGACTGGACTGTTTCTGAGGCCCTGTGTCTTCCCAGCTCACCCACAAACCCATGCTGCCACTGCTGAGTGGGTACCCCTTGCTAGAGTGCTACTTTCTGCCGATGGCAGGCAGCATCTCTCAGCTACCCCAGCACGGACTTTCTTACATTTCCAGCCACGTGCATACATCCCCCCAAATGCTGTGGGGCTGCAGGGATAATCTTCACTGGAAGCCCTCAGAAACTGCCATTTCCTCCCCAAATTATCAGAAAAATCTCAAAAGTGCGTAAGCCTGATTGGTTCCTGGTGACCTTGAACACTAGGGTATCTATCTAGGAACAATGGTGCCTTCTGCAGGCTGCAGGATGATAAGAGGCTAGAACAAGCTGCCATGATCTTGTTTCTCACACACTGGCGGGTATGCCCAAGGGAGGCTCCTCTGCTCCCACTTCCTGGCTTAGAAAGTCCTCCAAAGATAGCCAGCTGTCAAAGTGGCCTGGGGCCCGTCAGCCTCTTTTCGTCACTTGACAAGGTCGCTGGGCACTGTAAAGACCAGGCGGCCTTCCTCTTCCCCTGAAACAGCAGGTCACTTTGATGTCGGCTCTAGAGAAAGCCTGGGAACCACAAACTCACAGTGTCACCCCTGTGAGAAACAGTGAAAGCGGCGGGTGGGGGCAGAGCATCCTTCCCCAGGACAGACTCCTCCAGACTCTGTACCAACTTTGCTTCTAGCACACCCGGAGGCTGCAAATAGGGGAAGCAGACCTGCTACCTCTGCAGCCCCCCTGGAAGGTGGTCGGGTGGATGCGGATAACGAGAGGACCAGCTGGGGATGCTTTGGAGCTGCAGACTCCACGGCTTCGGTTGGAAATGAGGATATTTTTAGGGCAGAATCTGGGTCTTTCTTCTCTCCCTCCCTCTGATGCTAAGTAGCCATCTGTATCTCCCAGGCAACCTCCTCAAGCTGCATCCTAGAAAAGCAGCATGGGGATGCGGCTACTGTTAAATACAGAGTGCTGCATCATTCATTCACTCATTCATTCATTCATCTGTTAAGAAAGGAGCTAGATACTGTTTCTCCCTAACATGGCATGATGCTTTCTCTGAAGCAGTTATGGATACCCCCAATCCAGCAGGCCACTCTGTAGTGACTACTGTGTTCTGAATTTTGACATTCCTATCCCCAGTCTTCCCATTCCCCCCTCACTGACCCCAGAGAGCCGTTCAGCAATGAAAGTCTGAAAGATGATAAGAGAGACTCTAGCCCAAGAAGCCAGACTTATCTAATTCCTCTACACCAGTGCTTCTCAACCTTCCTAAGGCTGCGACCCTTTAATGCAGTTCTTCGTGTTGTGATGGACCCCCCCAACCATAAAACTATTTTTGTTGCTACTTCATAATTGTAATTCTGTTACTGAGTGAGTGGTGTCTCAGACCATCGGGAAATATGTGTCTTCCTGTGGTCGTGACCCACAGATTGAGAACCTCTGCTCTACAGGCTGCCCCATCAATACCCCGATTGCCCTATTTCTGAGTTAAAGCCCAGCTCATCACACCTCCTACTATAGTAAGAGTCTTTCTCAGTGGAGCCCCTTGAGATACAGGCTTGCTTGCGTACCACAGAAGAGAGGAAGTATCGGCAAATTCTTACTTTTGAGCAGCCAGGTCTTCTGTGCTAGCCCAGCAATATGGTACGAGCATGCAGTCCTGGCATTTGTGAGGCTGAGAGACAAGTTATGGTACGAGCATGCAGTCCTGGCATTTGTGAGGCTGAGAGACAAGTTAGCTGTGAACTTGAGATCTCTCTCAGAGTCAGCGATGAGTGAGTTGTGCAAGCTGAGTGGGGTCCACAGAAGTGAACTGAATTATGAGGCTGCTAAGAGACAGCCCTTTAGAAACCTCAAGGGCTGCAAGGAGGAACACACAGCAAAGACTGTAGAAAAACGGGGCCTGGGTTTGCCGATGGCTGCTGGCACTTGCCTGGCCAAGGGGCATCTCTAGAGGGTGGTACCCAGGGGAATTCCAGCGGCCTGGAGTCATGGTACTGTTTGCTTTCGCCTCCCAAGCCAGCCTGCTTTCCTCCCCCTGGGTCAGTTCAGCTCCAAGAACATTTGTGGACAAGCTGGGTGATGGGCTCTGGGCCCCAGGGGAGGGTTGGTCCTGCTGCTTGTCCACTTGGATCTTATTTTCTTGGTCTCTGCTGTCACAGCGACTGCACGAATGTCGCAGGACTCTCGGCCCCGAACCATTCATACATAATTTTCTCTGAAAGGATGAGGGGAAGAGCCGAGGTTAGCCATTCTACATCCACGAAAGAGAAGATGCAATGGACCCAGATAACGCGCATGGTCTGTATCACCACTCCATTTCCCACAGCTTTAGCCAAACAGAGACCAGTTCAAGGCAGGACCTAAGCAAGGAAGACTGCACGCGGCAAAGCAAGGCATGAGGGCCCACGAATGCCAGGCAGTCCTAGAAGTCCTTCGTTGCTCTCTACAGTCCAAAAGCGGACAGTGAGGAGCCAGCTGCCTAGGCCAAGCATCATGAGGCCCAACCCTGGCCTCTCCCTTCACATCAGAACACCAAGGCCGGATGTTCACCTCGCAGCAGCCCAGGGCTGGGTCTCCGACCTGTGGCCAGAGTGGGAGCGGCCGGCCGCTCCCGGGAGTGGGGCAGGGTTTCAGCCCACGTGCGTCCGCGGCTGCAGCGGCTGTAGCCCAGGACTAACAGGGAGGGCGTTGGGGTGGGTTCCGCGCTGCATTACCATTGGCCGTGCGTCTCAGGCTTGGGGCGGAGCTTCGCCTTCAGAGCCCCTGTCATTGGCCGAACTTCCGATGGGGGCGTGCCCCTACCGGGTCCTCTGCAGCTCGCACAACCGCAGGCACCCGGCCGGCTCAGCCTGCGCCGGGCCGCCTTGCTAGCTCCGGGCTCGGCAGGCGGCCCGTGGGGTCCCGGATCGCTGCGCCCACAGCTGGAGACCAAGGCAGGCCCTGACCTGAGGCCCGCGAGACCTTCGGTAAGACAGAGCGGGAGTGGGTTCCGTGGCGCGCGGGAGCGGGTGGGAACCGTGCCAGTCCTGGCTGGACTCTGCGCCCTACCGGGAGCCCCGGAGGGTCAGGTGCGGCAGCTGCGTCCGCGGTCTCAGACCTACCTGCTGGGCGTCCCGTGGGCTCTCCACCAATAAAAACTGCCATTCTAGCCTCAGAAAACCCAGCACACCAGCCCAGAGTGGGCGCCCTTGGGCAGCAGGGTCGCCTGTCATCGCTCAGGGGACCGTCCCCAAACTTTGCTCCACGCGAGATAGGTTCCCGTGCCTTTCCCATCCTCTCACTAAGCGCCTTGCTTATTTTTATTTTTTTATCTTTTTCTGTCTCCCTTCTTCTCCTCCCTCCTTGATAACAGGAAGTTAAGTTGGGCCAAATGTCAGTGGCCTGGCCGCCGGCGGCTGGGACCCGGGCTGGTTACTTGGCCGGTGGCGGCGCTTCCAGGGACCGCGCTGCTGTCCCCTCGATCTCCTGTGACCCCTGTCAGCCTGTGCTCGTCCTCCGCTCGCCCCCCCCCCCCCCCGCGCCCAGGAGCACCTCATCCTTGCGTCCGGCCCTGGCGCTGGCTGGCCCTGGACTGGGGTCTCTCTCTTAGCCTCTGCCCCGCTGCAGCTGTCTGGAGAGGGCGGGGTTAACTTATCCCAGGCCAGCCTCAGTCTTCAGCCGCACCCTCACCGGCACAGCTGGGAAGGGCCTTTACCGACCGGGAAGAGGCGTGTTGAAACCAGAGTACTCTCGTGTCTCCTTCTACATTGTTTATTCTGGGCCTGGGTTTCTAAAGTGGAAAGTGCTCTCGTTTGCAAGGCCACTCGCTACCCACTAATGTCTTAGGTGGTTTAGAAGGAGGATAAAGTCAGTAGCCAGTCCCTTTATGGACAGACCCGGAGGGAAAAAAGCCAGCGGCTAATTGGTCTTCCGCATTCGCATGCCTGAGTTCCCTGGCACCTGTGTCCTCTGCATGCCAGTCGCCTCCGCGGGGGCAGTGAATCTAACAGGTGGGCCAGTAGGGCAGTCCTGTTCACCTCCCAGAGATTTTTAAAGGCAATCAGTGTTGCCTTCTTCAGACGCTGGGAAGTGGGCACAGGTTGGGTCCCGATTGTTACTCTCCAAAAAGCCCGAGTTGTGTGTTCTTCTGGCTCTGTGCCTGCTTCCTGCTAACTTCCTACCCGTGGCTGTGGGAATATGCCCTGCGTGCATGTGCCTGGAGCCCCTGGCCGTGGAGAGATTCTGGGGACTGCAGGAGTACTTTGCAAATCGCCTGAAAGGACAGCCAGCGGGATGCACTGCCTCCTCCTCACTGTGTCCTCCAATGGAGGGGATAGGGCAGTGTTAGCTGTGATAGGGGACAGCAATGCTGCCACCTCTGTGGCCGGCTTTTCCAGGAGTCTGGAACTGTATTCATTGAACTAACTTGGACCCTTAGAAGGAACTCTAGGCTTGATCTTTCTGCAGTGGGTGAGGGGCGGGTTTTGGAATATGCTTCTCTGGTTGCTGAGTGATTGAAACCCACAGTTTGAACGGTCCCCTTCCTAGGAGCTGCGGAGAATAGCCCCAATCCTTGTCTCCTCTGATGGGATGTGTGTTTCTCTCTGTTCTCTCCACGGTGTCTATATCTCTACCTGGGTTTGCCTTCCAGCCTAGGCCTGTCTCTGCTCACTCTCCACTGATGGAGGACTTGACTGGACTGGAGGGGGCTGAATGTGGCTAACCCAGGAAGTCTGCACAGTGCTAACAGACTTTATCCTTTAACATCCAGCATTCTGAGCCTGGAAGAGAATGCTGCATTCGTAGTAGTTGGGGCTATCCCCGTTTTGCAGAATAGAAAACTGAGACGCAGAGAGATTGTTACTGGCATCATCAGATGACTAGAGTCTCACAATGATTCCAGCTTCCAGCTCCCTGATTAAAACACCACAGGAATCTGGGAAATCTTGGACACCCTCTGGACTCCAAGGGCTTAGTACAGACAGCCCCTGTTTGGTACTGCCAAGTTCCCTAATGACAGGTGAGTGGGTCTTCCCACCCCTCTATGAAATGACACAAAACCCCCAGTTAGTTCTCACAATCCTCCTGGCTCTTTGTTGTTGTCTGTTCCTTCTACACCAGTCTCACTGGGGCATCTACCACCATACAGAGCAGTTGCCTGTCCAAAAAAAAAAAAAAAAAAATACTGCAAGGAAAACCGAAGCAGGGAACCCAGGGTTCAAAGTCAGTCTAGCTAGGCTGATAGTAGATTTGAGGCTCGTCCTAGCTACCCAGCAAGACCTTGTCTCTACAACAAGAAAGAGCGGTAGGTATATATCATAGACCATAATCCCAGCCCTGAGGAGGCAGAAGCAGGAGGATTGCTGCAGGTTTGAGACTGACTAACCTTGGTAACTATGAGTTCTAAGTCAGTCATGCCATCTCAGAAACAAAACAAAACAAAACCGACCAAACATACACACACACACACATTTTTTTTCCAGAAAAATGGGGTGGTGTAATGCGCCTGCACCTTCCTCAGCTCTCCCAGTCATTAAGAGGATGCTGCATTAAGCTAACTCTCTGACTGTCTCTTCTGCTTTTCTCTCAGTTCTATTTTAAACTCCTCTTTAGTTATTTGTTTATTTATCTACTATATGTGTGCACCTGTATGGGTGTGTGTGCCACAGTTCCTGTGCAGAGATTGGAGGACACTTTGGAGGAGTCGGTTCTCTCCTTCAACTATGTAGGTCCTTGAGATTGAACTCAGATTGTCGGACTTGGCAGCAAGCGCCTGCTTAAGCCGTCTCTCCACACCCCGCCCCCACCCCGGGTTTTTTTTTCTTCCTGAAATATTTTAAAGCTGATTTCTGATGCCATTGTTTATGTCATGTATCCTCTGCACAATTCAGCATGTTTCACTTACGAGAATTCCCCTGCAGAACCATGGTCAAGACAGCAGTAATCTTACTTACAGTGTCACCTGTCCACATCCATATTGGCATACAGGCCTGCCTGTCAGGAATGACCTTTGCGGCTGTCTGCTGGAGTGACAATCTGTGCACACGCTGTATTTTTTCACAGTGAACAGCAGAGGGTCCCTTCCACTCTGTGAGCAATTAACCCCCATTCTGGGGAGTTCGTCTCCCCAGGGATGGATCACAGCGAGCCCTTGGGGACTGGAGTCCCCTCTGTCCCTCTCTGGATCCTCAGGAACAAAGCCTGCATACAGGGGACACACAGCAGAGGCTTGGTGACCATATGCTCCGTGGCATAGCAGCCACTGGAGGGGTGTGCTCTAAACAAGGGGACTGTCGGGTTCCTGTGGCTGTGGTGCGTGTTTGGACCGGTGAGTCGCTCACGCTCATGTGGCTGTCGCAGGACTGAGAGTCAGCCCGTAAGCATCCTGAAATAATAGGAAAACTATTTACGACGCTCGCCCTCGTCTCTTTGGTCTGTGGTGTGGCGCCCAGATGGCCACGTGTGTGCCCTCGGCAGCAGCTGGCCCAGCACATCACACATGGCTGACAGCCACTGAGGTCATTCTGCCCAAGCTTTGAGTTCAGTTCTGTCAAGACCAAGTTGGGAGTCCGACAAGGGGCTGGGTAGAGAGCAGGGTGCATTTTCTCCCCTTTCTTCCTCTGAGCAGTACCTCTCTCCCAGTCAAGGCTCTCCCTGCCACAGCCCTCCAAGGGAAGACTTAGGGTTTTGATTTTGTTATCTTGTTGTTTTTTTTTTGTTTTTTTTTTTGAGCTTTTTTGAGAAAGGGTCTTTTGTAGCCCAGCCTGGACTTGAACTAGATGTGTAGTTGAGAATGGCCTTGAACTCTTGATCGCCACTGTTTCTACATCCCAAGTGCTGGGATTACACATGTGTACCACTACCCGTACTTCATCTTTTATTTTAGTTTTTTTCAGCAAATATAACATTTTAATGCTTCTGTTAGTTATGTCAGTATTTGAGTTGATATTTTTCCTTTCTTATTTACATTTTGGGGTCTTTCATTGGTTGGTTTTATTACTAGAGACCAAAGCCTGAGCCTTCTCATACATGTTAGTCAAATGTTTGACCACTGAGCCACAGCCTCTGCCCTCCTTAAAGTCTTTAATCTTGAGAAGTGGTCTTCGTAAGTTGCTTTGAAGCCTAGGAAGGCTTAGAACTGAAGCTCCTCCTGTCTCAGCCTCCCAGAGACCTGGGATTGCAGGCATAGACCACGAGGCATGACATTACTCTTTATTTTTTTTTCTCCCCCAATTTTTTGTATAGTAAACATGTTGACATGATAGGAAATCCATATTCTAATCTCTCTAAAGCCAGGCCCTCAACTGCTTGGGTGCCTGTGCATCGGTCACAGCTGTGTTTCTTGATAGTACCTCAGTTAATTGAGATTTTGAAGTTTGCTCAGATCATATTGTTTGTATATTAGGTTCATTCTGTTATTCTGGAGGCAGCACCGAGCAGTAGAGCCCAGGGCTTGGGCCTGCCTGGTTCAGGCTCCACTGAGTTGCCTCTTGGGAAAATCCTGAAGGACGAACACTTTTGCAACTCTCTCTAGGGTACCCCGGCTCTCCCTATCCTAGCTTCTCTTTTCTTCTGGGCACCAGCCCCAGACATGGCTGGTCCCTGAGGATAGGTGCTCCTTCTAAAGCATGAATCCTCCTGTGGCTGGTGGTCAACATTAAAGCTGGAGGGAGTGATGGTGATAATCTGGTCATAATCTGCCTCTGCCGGGTTGCATCTGCCGCGAGTCTGATTGAGGATGCTCCCTTCTCTGTCAGATCTTGAAGAACCATCATCATCCCTGTGCCCCAAGTCCACAGCACACGAGTGCCAGATGTGGTCTGGTTACTTCACTCTCTGGCTCTGTCCGAGTGTTCACATCTGCTCATCGCTGTAGTCATCACGGGAAGAGATCCCTGGCTCGGTGCATGTGCAAGCCACTACATAGTTAATACCGTGTTTGCCATGTTGGAGATCTTAGGTTTTTGTTTTGTTTTGTCTTGCTTTTTACAGGTTCTCATTGTGTAGCCCTGTCTGACCTTAGACTATGTAGAGCAGGATGGACTCATTCACAGACATCTGCCTGCCTCTGCCAAGTGCTGAGATTAAAGGCGTGCGCCAGCACTCCCTCCACACTTGGTTTTTATTTTAAAGATACGGTCTCATGTAGCCCAGGCTGATCTCAAATTTATTATGTATGTAAGAATGACCTTGAGTTTATGAATTCCCCATCTCACGTAATCCCGGAGTGTTGGGATTACAGGTATGCACCATGGCCTTTTAATACAGTGCTGGATTTCACATCCAGGCAGTTTTCTGTGTAGGGACAAGCACATTCCCAACCAAGCTACAGCCCAGGCCCTTAGCGTGCTCTGTATGTGACTTAACACAGGACCACGTTCCTTCCTCCCAGAATCTTCATCTCTCTGTGGCTGCCTGGGTACCTTGTGGCTCTAGCATTCATCCTATAGTGTATCCACATTTATTTCAGGGTATTAAAAATATTACAGCAGACCCTTTCCCGGGCAACAAGGGGGGGGGGTCCAGAACTCATGTCCTTTTAGCTGGCTGCAGAGCCAGGCAGCAAGGAGCTAGACAGTTGTTGCCGGCCCTGCACTGTCAGAGCCACAGGTTAGTGGAACATTCACAGGCCCAAGTTTCAGACACACCCAGCCCAGAAGCTCAGCACATGCCAGAAACAGGAATGAGTGTCTAGAACATTCTGTCCTTCATATCAGTGTGCTGAGCTGCAGGGACTCCTCTCTGCTCACAGACTCTGAATGCTGGCCTTGGCTGTTCATCTGAGCACTGATTCTGGGAGCCAGGAGCATGAGGAGCAGGGGAGGGTGATGACATACATGCGGAAGAGTCACTGAGACGTTTTAGTCACTAAAGAGAGCTGCTTCCAGTAGAGCAGACCCAGGTCTGTAGGATTCTGGATGCTGACTCCTGTGTTGGGTGCCTACTCATCCTAAGGTGCCATGTGCAGTATTCATGGAGTTGATAGCTCCACGTTGGGACAGCTGGCTCTTTAACACTTGAACACACAGATGGTAATGGGCAAGCGTTTCTTTCTGAAGGAAGTGGGTGTATCTGACAGTCAACTGAAAGGGTAAACAGAGTGGAGGGAGGGCACACATGTATGTACACACTCTAACATGCACATGGATGCATGGTGCTCACCCAGACACACATGGGTACACTGTATTTACTAGTTCACACACATGGGTACGTAGTTCTCCCCTGCCACACACACAGGCATGGTACTCGCCCCAACACACATATATAGATGCAATGTTCTCACCTCCACACAAAAGGATGTGTGGTACTCACCATCACCGACATACAGATGCAGAGACCCACTCGACGTGCACGCACACATCGATGGGTGATAAGACACTCACTCCATATGAAAGGAACTAGTGAAAACCCAAGCCTCCTTTCTTCCCTCAGCCTCCATCCATGGGCTCTCCTCACAATGGTGGTTGCTGTTCCAAACCATCTGTGGAGATGCTGTGGGCACATTCTTTTGCCCATTCCACGCTCTGCTTTTCCTTCTGTCTATTGGGCAGTGACCAGAATGGGAAGAAACAGGAGTCACAGGACCCCAGCGACTCAGCAATGAGTTGGCCAAAACTTAACGATTACCTTCTCCATGAGTTTCACCCCTCTCCCCGTCAGAATCCTTTTGCGTTAGATCTGAGGGATTCAGAGCAGCTGGGCACTGAAGATAAACATCAGGGGCAGGTGATAGAGGCGAAAAGAAGCAAACAGGCAAACGAAGCATGCTATAACAGACATGGGTTCAAATCCTACCCACGTGGTCTTGGAAAGCGTGTGAACCCTACCATTTAGCCTACAAAGAAGAGGTAGTCACACTTAAGTCAAGTCTGACGTGGAGATGAAATTAAAATACTTACAAAGTACCCTGCATAGGTGTGTATTCCAATACCTCTTTTTTTTTTCTACATATAAAGAGTGATCAATTTCCATAATGAACACCACGAATGGGCTCCTCCAGAAGCCCCACTTTGGGTCTCAAGCTTTGGTTTTCCACAGAAGTCAGCCAGGTCTCTGTTTCCCCGCAAGCTGAGCTGCTTCTGCCTGCCTGTCTGCTCCCCCAAGCCCACTCCCTGCACTGTGGCACCACCTCCATCCCACCTAACCCGTCAGTAACCCCTCCTTCTCTGCCCTTCACCTCTGCCCCACTGGCTCCTCCTCACTTCCATCCCCTCTTCCCTGGTGAGCAGTAGCTTCCTGGAGAGGGCTCCCTGTTTATGGTTGCTCCCTGGGGTGTTTATGCTTGCCTCTCTTCACAAGCTCCTAGCAGATGTCTGTTTATTGCTGAAACCTCATCTTCAGCCAGAAAGAGGAGAGGACATTTTTTTTTTATTTTTGTTAAAGATCTCTAATTGCGGTGACTGCACAATGCAGCTTAGATTGCCTCCGAGTCTCACTCGTCATTGCTCTCCAGCTCTGCCCATTATGAAACCCTTCAGATGTTGGCAGAGAGACCTTATATGTCCCGATTTCAGAGCGGCATTTAAATTTAGCATCCAGTTGTAACCACTTAGAAAGGGAGTGAGGGCAACTAACAGTTTGTCTTCTATCCTGGCTCAGACAGATGGTGTGAATGAGAGGAGCATTTTTGTATCCATAGCAACGGCAACCCTCCCTCACACCCCCTCTTTCCACCTGCAGGGTTGAGCAGGCACTCAGAGGCTGCCATGAGATTAGCTGGCAGCTTGGGAGTTTCATCTTTCCCTTTGGACTGGGGTGGGTCTTGAGGTGCTCAGGGTAGGGGCACTGGGGTGGCTGTAGGTGATTCTGACCTCTGTGTCAGAGGAGGAAGAGAGAGCGTGAGTCACAGAGCCGTGGGATGTCAAGTTGGAAGGGCCCTCTGATGTCATGGCCATAGAATTCTCACTTCTGCCTTGAGTCTGCGTGTGTAGAAAAAGGGGTTCAGACATGTGTGTTTATTTTTATTTTTTGAGGCAGGGTCTTATCATGTAGCACACAGTTGGCCTTGGCTTACTGGGATTTCAGGCATTCACCCATGTCCAGCCTTCCTTAAGGAAGGACAATGTAGTGCAGGGTGGGCTAGGGTTTCAAGATCTTTCCATATCAGAACACATCTCAAAGCCTTGGGGATTGACTTCCTACCTTTGTTTTCTTGGCCTCTGATACAAACCCAGATTTTTTTCAGAGACAAGGTCTCACCTATATGGACCTGGCTGTCCTGGAACTCACTATATAGACCAGGATGGTCTCAAACTTACAGAGATCCAGCTGCATCTGCCTCCCAGGTGCTGGCATTAAAGGCGTGTGCCACTACACCCAGCTCCCAAACCCTGATTTTACCTGGGAAGGGCAGCTGTCTGTAGAGATTGGTTTGTCTCAAATTGGCTATCAGCTGAACCTTGAGCGAACACACCAACAAGAGCCAGTGAGAGCTGTGGAGGAGGACTGCAGAAAGGGCTATAAATAGGAGCTGGGGGGGGGGGGGGCTACCAACAGCTGTAGGCTCAGGCTTGTTAGTGCCCAGCACAGTGTGCAGCTGTTATACTGGGGCCCAGATCCAATTGCTCTTCCACTGCCCAGAGTGAGGTATGTAGGACCAGTCTCTTGCTGCTCCCTGCACAGGGGGTGCCAGTCAGAGGAGGTAGAAGGGGTAGGCCAGCTTCTTGGTCACAAAACGCCTTGGAAGATGAGCAGGGTGCCCTCAATAGAGATGAGTAGAGGCAGGATCACACAGGGGTGTGGGCAAGTAAATGACATATGCAGGATGTGAGCAAACCCAAGAGGCAGAAGGAAGGCACCAGAGAGGACTAGGACACCTAATCCTTGGGCCAGGTAAGTTTAGGAGCCTGTACCGCCCTCCCAACACAGAATGCTAACTGAATACTAAATGGTTGTCTACACTGAGAGGTACCCGAGAAAATGGAGTGGAGCAATGAAGGCAAGGCCCCAAAGCTTCCTCTGTGCTCTGGTTTTTGTCTTGTAACCTGCCTTATGGTTACAGGGTCTGTGTACGCAACCCCCTCTTGCCATTTCTACGTCCAGTGACTCGTTGTGAAACTCTCCAGCTCAGGTTGTAGAATACGGTCCATCCATCCTTTCCTGCAGCTTGTGGTCTGTAGAGAAAAAAGCAACTGCCCCCTTACACCCTTCCTTCCCTTCTTCCAGGTCATTTTTAGGGGAGGAAATGCAGGCATAGAAGGTACTGACCCCAGAAGCGGACCGGATCAAGAGGTTCCTGCTCGCCTGTGGTAAGTCAAAACAGCAAAGGTGGGGGGCGGGGAGGGGAGGGGCCCGTGGATTCCCTCCTCAAAGGATTTGGAAGAATCATTTCTGTAGGGGTCAGAAGCTTGCAGAACCCAGCAGCCCATCTGACATGCTGCTGATTCCTCTCGCTTTCCGAATCTCCCTTCCCTCTGTGTGCTGGCAGGGAAGGGGAGGTGAAGGCCCTGCTCAGCATCCACCTGCTGCTGATGCTAACCTGGTGGGTGGGTGGCATAGTAACTTGCTGTGTTTACAGTTGTGACGTTTGAGCAGTGCTGCAGGCACCTGCCTTTCGTGTCTGTCTTGGGGACACCCTGGGTTTATGTGATGGGGTCGATTGCTCTTGCAAGCTTCAAGTGGAAGGAGTTGAGTATTCATGGGAGCTGGGGCTCCCTTGTGATAGGAACCTTCTCTTTTCTTTCTCCCTCCCTCCCTGTCTTCCTGCAGCTCTCCCTTCCTCTCTCCCTGCCTCTTGCTCTTTCTCCTTTTCTCTCTCTTCCTCCCTTCCTCTTCTCCTTCCTCTCCATGTCTCTCCCCTTCTCCCTCTTCTCCTCTCCCTCCCAAGCCCCCTTTCTTTCTTCGCATCAGTTGTCTCAGTGGGAGCCCAGGTTGGCTCTTCCATGACCAACTGACCACTGGGCCCATTCGAGCTTCAGTACAAGACCTCTGATGTACTGTCTATTAAAGGCGGGTTGTCACAGGCAGAATTGGACTTTCAGTCGGGTTTAGTGACATTATTTACCTCACAGGATGCGTGTGCAGATTAAATAGGGCAGTGGGTTCTCCATAGCCACCAGTACCTGACGCACCAGTGGGGTCTTTTTTCTGGGTCAGGGTTCCTCTTGCCCTCAAGCCTCGCATTTGTATTGTTCCATAAGTGACGTTGCCCTTAAGCAATGGATGTTTAAAGAGTGCCTCAGTTGGGACACTGTCATAAGCAATGAAGTGATGGGCAAGGCTTGCCTTCTTGGTGAGGCCGGTACCCCACTGGACACAGAACTGGATGGTGAGGAAAGTCCCGATTCCATCGAGAACTTCACTTATTCCAGTTGCTGTCATTTAAAATTTATTACTCTATTAGACATTAGACAAATATTTTTATATTATGCCTGAGTTTTGCTTGTTTAGATTTTTGAGAGTACAGTTCTCATTCTGTAGTCCAGGCTGGCCCGGAACTCAAGCTTTCCGCACTATAAACTCCTCAAACTCATTTGCTGTATAGACTAGACCGCCCCGACCCTCCCATCTCAGCCTCCTACATACCAAGGCATGCAGCAGCAACTTGGCTTATTCCGTATTCCTCTTGTGTGCATATGAAAAGAGAATAAAATTGGTTACAGTGTTTCTGAGCTTTCTTCATGCTCAGGTCCAGCTCTTCAGCATCTCTTTCTGACCTGCCCTAGTCAGCTGTAACTGTCAACTTGACACAGACCAGAGTGACCAGAGGAAACTCTCAGCTGAGTCATTGTCTTTATCAGGTTGGTCTGTGGGCATGTCTGTAAAAGACTCTGTTGATTGTGATTCAACAATCTTGCTGGTTAATTTTTAAATTACGTTTTATTGATTTATTCGTGTATTCGTGTGGATGGAGGCAAGAGTGCCTACCACAGAGCACACATGGAGGTCCGAGGACAACCTGCAAGCTTGGGTCCTCTCTCTCTACCATGTGGGTCCCAGGGTTGAATTCGGGTGAGCAGGCATGGTAGCTAGTGCCTTTACCCTGTGAACCCTCACTGTTTCCTATTCTGGTTAAATTTGGACTTTGTCTTGTTTCTCTTGAGGCAGGGTTCCAATATGTCATTCAGGCTGTTTTGAACCAGCAGTCCTGAACCAGCAGCCCCAAGCGCTGGGATGTGGGCATGCATCGCCTTAAATGCTGACTTGTTAAATCCCAAGCAGCCTTGCTCTGAGGATGATTTCAGGTTTGCATGTAGTGACCCCAGACAGCATGCAGGTCACCACCATACAGGGTTCTCAGAGACCTTATGGCGCAATGCTAAGAGCACCCTTTAGGGAACCCCAGACTTTAGCCAACTTGCTTTGGGGACACAAATTCCAGCTGCCTTATTGATTCCATCCTGTTCCTTCTCTGACCCATGACAAGATTCCTACTGGTGACCAGCTGAGATCTGACTGCTACAGCTCTTCACCTGCTTTGACATCATATGCTCCCTGTTCCCTTAGGGTTCCGAGCCCACTTTCAGGTCTGGGACTGGACTGCCTCTCGGATACAAAAGCCACTGAGTTATTAAGCATCTCCTCTCCAGATGTGTGCAGTGCTCTGGGCTAGAGCTTATTGGCCTGGAGGACTTGAACTCATTAGAACTGTTTAGACATCTTTAAAAACAAAACAGGGCTAGGGATAGAGATCGGTGGTAGAGCGTTTCCCTAGAGTGCTCAAAGCCCCAACTGTGAAAAACTGAGAACAGTAACCAACAATAAGAAAAACATATAAGCTAAATCAAGTTCCCATCTCATCCGAGCACGCACCCCGTGTCGCCCCGGGGTAGGTCCTTGTGTCTGCCTCCCTCTTCTCAGGCTGGAGGCTGGAATCACGTTTCCGAGTTGCAGCCCCAGCCAGGTCTAGGAGCTCACTTCTCCCCCAGCTGTTAGGAAGGTCTGTTGTCCTCAGATCCCATGTACCAACTTCCCCTTTTGTGGCTCACAAACTTCACAGGAAATGGTTGTTTTTCCTCCCCATTTCCTGTATCCTGGTCACTCGCTGGCTCTGTCTTTGCTGTGGGAAACTAAGGAATGAGGCTTGTCCTGTTACCATGGAAGCTGCCTCCCTCTTCTAGAAGGTGAAGGTCTCCGAGAGGCCAGGGAGCCCTAAGTAGTAGCCCCTGGGGTCCACCCAGCCCTCAGGACCAGCAGCTCTCTCTGCTCAGCTGAATTCATACTAGCTGTGGACCGGAGGCTTCCATCCTGAGGCACCCCTCACCTCAGTCCTGTCTCCTGTGGGCTCTGTCTCCCAGGCGTTCTGCGTGAATATTGTTTCTCCCCTGCACTAGTGTGAGTCCGTCTCATACAAGGCTAAAGGGACCACAGCAGTGGGGGAAGTCAGCTGTCGGTTACATAAAAGAGTGGACTTGGCTTTCTGCATGCAAATGCTTGAGGAGCATCGTCAGGAGGCCGCTCAAAACGGCCTACCTGCTCGATTGGCACACTAGCCAGGGACCAAGAGAAGGGAAAATGTCTTGAGGTGGGTGGGGAGCTTTCAGGATTTGGGATTTGAGAACTCAGTGAGTATATTCCCTACCCCCTCCCTACCACCACAGTCTCAGGTAATCTGGGTATATAATTAGCTAATTGGAGTTGTTGAGACCATGTGGAAAAAGTGTGGTTTCAAGTCTGAGTCAGGCCCTCTGTTGATTCCTGCTCACCTGGGCCTCAGCTGCTCAAGGGTGAAGCAATTGCCGCAGCCTTCTGCACTTGCAGAGGCAGTGGGAAGACTATTCTGTCCTCCAGGGTCCAGCCCAGCCTCACACAGAGTGCCTTCGAGACACGGCTTCCTCTAGCCCACCTGACTCATCTTCCTGCACAGCAGAAGGAATTGGAAAGCAGGTTTTGGTGGCTCGCACTTGTAACCCAGTACTCAGAGGGACTGAGGTAGGAGGAACCCTGGGAGTCCAAGGCTAGCTTGTGCTACAGAGTGAGTTCCGGGATAACCTGGGCTACAGTGTGATATCCTGCCTGCAAAAAGAAAAGTCACTGGAGCTTCCACTGGCCTTGTAAGGTCAGCTTGTTGAGAGCATCTGCTTGCTGAGAGCTCACGCTCAGCAAGCCAAGTCTCCAGTGTGGGTTTCAGCTATGAGTCACCTCCACCTCCGCCCTGGTGATTCCTCTGCTAGGCTCCTGCCTCTGAGGGAACTGCACTCTGAACCCCTGGCCTGCCAGAACAAACCAGACACTTCACTTTTCCAGGCCTGTGGGGCTTTGCAAACCACTTGGTGGGCCCTACAGGAGCCTTTGAAGACACAGGTCCACAGCTGCCTGTGCAGATAAGCGAGCAGCAGCCAGGTTAGGGGAGAGATGGAGGGTGTGGGAGAGGCCAGTGTAGGGAGGGGCTGTTGAGAAGGTTGCTTGTTTATACCCGGAAGTGAACTGAGAAATGTTCGTCGAGTCCCTACTGTGCGCCTGTTCCCTGTGCTTTGGGGACATTGGGATTCATCAGGCTTGGCAGCTCTTCCCAGAACGTTTACAGTGCCAGGAAAACAAGACACACGTGTGTGTAAACAAGTGCAGGAGCAGGCTGCGGGGGATTTGGGAAACGTCACCAGGAAGTTCATGGCTAGTCCAGGCCATGGGGGACCGAGGGAAGGCCTTGGTGTGAGGAATGTTCTCTCTGGGCTGCGGAAGCCTGGAAAGGTTCCGAGGAGGGGAGAAAGCGGTGGTGGTGTCTGATGTGGATCTTGAGGGGTAGGCGAAGTGCAGATGGCAAGTGGGATGGGCGGAAGCACGTAGCATCTGTCTCTCCCTCTGCTCACACTGGAGCGAAGAGAAAGAGCCGGTAGGAAGGTGGGAATAAGCACAGACTCTGAGTCAGTGACACCGGACATGTAAGACGGGGCAGGTACCCATCGACCCCTAGGGTCAGTGCGGCAAGACAGACAGGGTTTGATGGCCATTTGTTCTGATCTAGGTAGCTGCAGCGTGCTGAGGAGCAGGAGGGCAGGAGGCATGCTGGCCGCGTGTTTACCACGGCTCCCCCAGGAGGGTTCTTCCCTTGACATTTTCACTTTGTTTTCTTAGTCAAGTTGCCTGCGCTCAGGCTGGTCTTGAGCTTTGCTAGGTAGCCAAGGATAACCCTGAGCTCTTGCTCTTCCTGCCTCTGCCTTCTGAGTGCTGGGCTTACAGGCACACCACTGTACCTGACTTTATACAGCTCAGGATTAGCGTGCACGAAGCTCAGGATCAGCCCCCTGCATGCTAGGCAAGCATTCTACCGGCTGAGCTACAGACGCAGCTCTCCCCGCACATTCTCAGG